GCTGCGCGCTCAATCCAATCTATCTCAGAACATTGACCTGCTTGGCCAACTTCGTGTGGCCTGGGGCTCGTCCTTTCTCGAGCGCCCTGAGATACTGCAGGCCCGTACGTGTGGGGGCCTGGCATTCCGAAACGAGCTTGCCCGTGGAGCGGTAGTGGTCGGTACCGAGCCCTCCGCACCTAGAGCAAGCGAAACTACGCTCCTTAACCGTCCCCGCCCCCACCTCCCACCAACGCGTAGTGTGAGAGGGATGCACAGAGAGGCCTCTCCGACTCGGCCCCACCTCCCGTGGGGCACTCGAAGCAGGGCCTACAATGAGAGAGGGGTTGCACGGGGAGCGGAGCCACTTAATTACAGCACCCTTTCCCCTTGAGGGAAGCTCCGAGGAACATTTACGACAACGCCACTGCCTACGCAGACGACCCTCGACCTTGGAGCACTCCAGGAGATGGGCCGTGCAGGGTAACTCCGAGGCCAAATCCAGCTTCTTCCTGATAGGTCCCTGGGCGGCAGCTCTGGAAACTTCCCCCCCTGGGCGGTGCGAATGCATCGAAACCAAAATGCTAGACAAGCGGGCGCGGATGGCCTTGGCCTCCGCCTCGAGCTCCAAGAGGGAATCAGCTGCCGCGCTCGGGACCTGCGCGGCTGGAGAGAACCTGTCAGCTAGCTTAACAGCCAGCTCGTTGACTTGAAACAAAGCCTTAAAATCATCTGACGCTCGCTCGAACTCAGAAGCGGTCGCATGGCTAGCGACCTCGACCACGAGGACGTCTCGGGCCCCCCAGAGCTCTCGGACGAGGTGCCAGAGGTCCCGATTCGTCTTCGGCCTCCAATGGGCCTTCGAGCGCAGACAGAACGCAACTCGCTGGACGTAGGCGCTGTCAGTAACATAGGTCAGGTCCTTGCCTGGGGTAGCCAAAAGGGCCTCCTTGAGGGCAAACAACTCACCTCGGTTGATTCCCTGACGCGGGCCAGGGAGGGCCCCACCAAAAGCTCCAGAAGCACATAGAGGCAGAGGCACCTCCCTGGGATCGGCCCCGACGGCAACAAAGACAACAGACCAGGTGATACGACGAAACTTAGCGTGACTAGACTGCTTTCCCCCAGACGCGCCCCCGCTCAGCCAAACCCTCCCGTCCACGAGAAGGGCACCCAGCAGGTTGTGCGGGATCGCACCTGGCTATGGGAAGCTTGGCGGGTCGATCCGCGGGTCTAGCTGGATGTGCAAATTGTCTGGTGGCTCTGGGATAGCCGTCCATTCTCTGGGGGTAAGGCCCCGGAGCCAATAGCAAGGATGCGACTGAGAACCTTGAACCGCTTGGTCTTTTAAATGCTGCGTGTCGGCGCAGCGGGGAATGTCATTATTGGCAATGCAGGTCCAGCAGCGGTGAAGGTCGGTCTCGGGTTCAACCTCGCAACGCGGACACAAGATAGAGTCGACCTTCACCCCCGCCTGGGAGAGCCGAGCATTGGGCCAGAAACCTGCCGTCATGACCGTGCTGAGGGAACCTCGAAACTTGTTGGAACCCTTCTTGGCTAAACCACGCATCATGTTTAAACTATCCGTGGTTTCCGCTCCCTGCTCGAGGCCCCCCCATTATAATGCTTAGCAGCGCGTGCCCAGACTGAGAGCCTCAAGGCGTCTCTGAAGACCTCCAAGAAAGGCTCCCAGTCAGGGTCCGAGTCGAAAGTATCTTCACTCACCTCATACTTATCGCCAGTAGGGTGGGCCCACTTCCACGGTCCCTGGGGGGCCCCAACCCGCGGAGAGCAAAACAGAAATCGTGCCCGAGATCAGGCCGTTCACCTTCCTCCACTGGCGGTTCTGAGGGGTGGCGCGCAAATTCTTCAAAATGATTGGTTAGGCTCTGGCCGCTCTCTTCCTGAAAGCTCCTGACGAGGCGAGCATTTCAAACCACAAACTGATGGTGGCCGTGGGCAGAGAGGTAGCGGGGTCCTGGTCCCCGTAGTCAATGTGCAACGCCGTGGTCAGACATCTACCTCGAGCCTTCGAGGTTGCGAAGCGACCGAGAGACCTGCGGAGCTGGAGGAGGGGCTCGGGAGAGAGGGGGATGACCTTGGTGCGATAGCCAATCCTAGGGACGATGCCCGTGGTGGCAATTCGGCGAGCAGCACTAGAGCCTGGCGTGCCACAAGCGATCTGATTCAACTTCTGAGCCTGCCATGAAGCCAGCTTTTTCCTCGCGCGAAATGTGGATGCCTGGTGCAAGCGGCGGTGGCCTCTCTCGATGCCGAGGTCAGCAGCAGCTCCGAGATTCTTAACCTGTAGGCCAGCCTGTCTGAAAGCTGAGGTGGGCTCTGTTGCGAGGACCCTGTTGGAGGCTATAACAGCCGACTTGCCCGAAAGCTGAAGACCGTCGGCAGAGACTCCCACAGAAAACTGTATGGCCGCCTCCGTGAGAGATTTGACGACGGCCTTGCGAGGCCCCTCATGACGGAAGTTCACATCGTCGACCCAGGATTTGGCGACGAGCCCCTTGGGGAAAAAGGCCCGATGGGCCGAGTCCAGGGCAGGAAATAGAAAAGCCGCGGCACCGTTTTTCCAATCCTACAACCTGCTAGGATCCCTGATGAAGCCAGGATGGGATCACTGCAGGAGGAACGCTCTCTTAAAATCCGCGGGCCCAAATACAGCTGGGCCGAGAGGAGAAGGACCGTGAGGGAGTGCCTCAGGTCCAAGCACCTGTGCATGAGTAGGCCTACATCAAGGGAGTCAGAAAATTCTTTTATGTCAAACAGAATGCTGGCGTGTGGGATCCCGATGGCATCTGCTGCCTCGTCCATGAAATGCCTGCCTACTGCCGCCCTGAGGGCGCTGCTGCCTCGAATGGCCTCATCCCAGAACCCCGCCTCCCCCTCCAGCCAGCCCCGCGGGATCTGATTACGGAGGAGGCTCCAGAGCCTGGACAGCCCGCACAGAAGGGCAATCGCCCGTTGGCCGCCAGAGTCCTTAGGCAGGAGGCCGATGATAGACGGTAGCAGCTGCCATGGCCAGGCCAGGTTAGACTCAGCTGCGTGGAAAACCTGCAGCAGCTCGGTTTGGCCCTGGGGCCCCAGCTCCAGGATGTCCCGAGGGCCGAGGTTCTCGATCCCACGACCAGTCTGGACAGGGATTTGCCGCAGGGCACCTTGGAGGTGCTCCAGGGCAAGCGCTGGGAGGGGCTCTTTTTTTTTGCAGAGGCGCGGCCTCGCTGGAAAGCCGACTCGACCCTCTGCCAGGCAGCACTTAAATCAGGGGCCGTCCATTCTGCAGCCCATCGGGACCTGCGCAGGCCCATCGGCTCGAGCGGTGACCCTGCCACTCCCTCATCAGAAATCAGCTCAGAGGTGACCTTAGCCTTCGTTGGGCCCGGGGTAGCGGTGGGGGGTTCCAACCTTGTCCGAAAGAGATTCCGCTACCCAAACCTTAAAGTCAGCATATGAAGCTCTGGCTGCTGCCTGCTTGGCCTGGGCTGCATTGGCCCCCGCCGTTTCACGAAGGGCGCGCCACTCCAGGGACCCCAGCTGCTGCGGATCTCGGATCCAGATCTTCCATGACAGAGCAGCCGCTGGCTCCAAGGCCAAAGAGGGCCCTGAGGGGACTGAGTGCGCCCTCTCGGAAAGCCTTGAAATAGCTTCCCTGCCCTGGGGCGCGGGGTCTTTGCCGAGGTCCGCCCTCCTAGCAGACTGCGCCCCGATGGCGGCGAGGGTGGCCGCCTCGGCCCACCAACGGGCCAGCGGGTCCGAAAACCGAGAGGGCTGGTCCCTTCGGGTCATTTTTGAAACGGTGGGCCCCTGGGTGAAAGCGCGGCCAGAGTGAAGCTTGTGCTGCTCCTTAGGCAGCTGGTAGATGTCGCAGTAGAAACGTTCAAGTCGATCGACCCATCTCGAAAAGAGATCCCCAAGGGCCGCAGATTGGGTCGAGAGCCTGAAGGCCCAGGAGTCCTGGATGAAACCAGGGATCGGCTAGGCAGAAAGGCCGGCGGGGCTCAGGTCACTCCAGCGGGCGCCCTTCTCGGCGTCCGCCAAGGTGATCTGCTCGAGCCCCTTCTCGGCATGGTCAGGTTGCAGAGGCAGGCCTCCCCACTCTCGATGTGCGAGGGCAGGGTCGTCTTCAGCGGGTGTTACGCGTGAATCGTTGGTCCAGGTGTGATTTGCCAAATTACTGTTTTTTTTTTTGTTTCGAAACCGCTACGGGCGCCAGTGGGGACGAGAAAGCCGCGCCCGTTGAAGAGCACGGCGTCGCAGCAGCTGCTGACTGCTGCGGTGGAACCGTAGGAGCAGACGGGGTAGCCACGTCGAACTCTTCATCCATATCAATGTCGCTTAGTATATCCATACTGTCAAAACCAACTTCGGCCTGGTCCATCAGGCTGGGAATCGGAGGTTGCAGCCCGGGTCGCACACCGCAGCTATCCCCTGGCCCTGGGCCATGAGCAGGTTCGCCGTCAGCGGCGGCAGCGAGAACAGCGCGGGGAGGGTCCAGGGCCATGATCTGAACCACCTCGTCGTAGTTCCTGGGCGGGAATCCTTTTCCGTGCCTGGGTGCGGGTTGCTCTTGTCCATCACCATCCTCAAGGTCCTGCGATGGTGCTGTGTGCTCCAGACGACGCGATGCTCCCTCCTTAGTACGATTAGCCTTGCGCCTGGATCGCTTGCTGCTGGGGTCAGGGCCTCGCTTGGGCCTTGGTGGGTGCGGGAAGCGTCGAGGCTGCGGCAAAATGCGAATCTGTGCCAATCGGGTGCCGACCCGAATCTTGAACCAAATACCTTTGTGATCTCCTGAAGCCTCGTCAGCGTGGCATGTGGGTTCCAGGCCCACAACAGAATTTGAAACCAGACAGAAACCGAGGAGGTTGAATGGCGCACGATTGCACGTCCAAGTAGTATTCGTTGGGCTTAGAACATATCCTCCCAGGAGATCTGGCCGTTTGGATCGCCTCAGGTCCGACGGTGACACATTCCAATCCGCTGCAACAACCCAAGGCATGTGCGAAAGCCTGAGGAACGCCCCTAGGTTCGTGAGCTTCTCTGCGTTGACGCCCATGAGCTTCTCCCCAGGCGTGAGATAGAGGGCGACAAATATGAAGTCCATGCTTCCCGCGAGCTCGACCGCCACGGGCGCGAAATCCCAGAAATCGATGGGGCCGCCGCCCTTGAGAAGGCCGTCAAGGCGGCCAGCACCCACCTGCTGTTCGTCAATGCGGCAGAGGTCCTTGAAAGAGTGGCTCTTGATGTGGCGCCTCACTCCAGCGATGACACCACCAGCTCTCTTGACCGAACGAAAAGCCCTCGGAGGGGCGACAACTGCTTTCCAACCGTGCTTATCCATGGCATCTACGACGGCGTGAGAATCCTCTGCGTGGGTCTCAGCAAAGCCCACAACATCCGCGCCTGAAACTCCATCCTTGATATCATTGAGGGTTGACGGCCCCCCAAGTAGTAATGTTCTTGAAATAGAATGCCAGCTCTCGAGTCAGAAGCCTTCGTCTGGCCCGCGCCGCGGCCTGGCCTGCTGGGGCTCATGCTGCTAAAGCCCCTGCATGCCATCCGAGGCGGCGGTGGCGGCCCTTGAGGCCTCGCGCCTGGCGCGCGCATCAGCCAGCGTCTTGGCGAGGTCCTCGGGCGAGGCCTCTGGGGGAGCTGGCTCGGGGGCTGCGCCTGACGGGTCGCCCGCGGTCGACGCCGCAGCGGACGCGGGCGGGGGCCCCAGGGCCAGGCGCAGCGGCGGGGGCGCGAGCCGCCGCTGCGCCGTCCCCGTCAGGCTGGCCCCCAGGCCCCCCGTCGGCCTCTCTCTGCTGGGCTGGGTCGCCTCCTGCAGCCATGCCACCAGCTGCGGCGCGACGCCGCTTATGCGCCTTGCGGGCGCGGTACTCGGCGAACGCCTGCTTCCTCTGAGCCAGCCCCTGCGCGGATGGACCGACTGCAGCGACGATGAGTTTGCTGACCTCGGCGGCCAGCTCTGACTTGTGGCGGTTCCATTGCTCGATCTTCTCCTGCTCGAGTTCCAGGTCGCCGAACGAGAAGAGGTCGCCGTCCTCGAAGCAGACCAACCTGCCCAGGTCCTCAGGCTCCGTGGTCTCGAGGATGGCAGTGAGGTTGATGGCCGCTGGCTGGAGTGGTGAGGTCGGCTGCGCCTCCAGGCTGCTGCGGAGCAGGCGCTGGTGGGCGGCTGCCGTGGCGGCAGCGGCCTGGACCTTCTGCTGGAGGTCCGCGGATACCTTGTGCAGCCACTCCTTGCACTCCTTTTCGAAAATGATAGCTTTGTCGAGGGCCTCCTGGGCCTTCCTGGCTGCAACTGCCGACTGGTGCAGCTGCTGCTCTCGCTCGAGTTCTGGTCGGGCCCTCTGAACGTTGTGTTTTTTCTCCTTGTCGGGCTGGGGCGTCTGCAGGGCTGTGACAAGCGCGCTGAGGTGGGTTCCCATGTCGCCAGCTGCCCCAGGAGGCAGCCTGCGCTCCAAGGCGCTGAGGAGCTGCTCGGGCGTGGGGGCGAACGGCGACGACCCGTCAAGGGAAGCGGAGGCGGAGGTACACTGTCCATCTTGAGCCCAAGCAGCACCAGAGTCCCACGAAGTGAAGGGGCTAGGGCCGGAGCGCGGCGGTCCATAGTCCCACTTCCCTTTGCTCTTGCCCTTTCCTGCTGCGTCGTCGGGCGATGGCTTGAGATTGCCTCCGCACTTCCAACACTTAGTATGAGAGCGCCAATTCCACTGATAGCGGCAAGCAGCGTGAGGACACGCAACATAGCCCCTTCTGGGCGGTGCCATCCGCCAACCAGTGGCCGTTAGTAGAAGAAGGGAAAACGAGTGTACTGAGCGAGTGAGTCTCAGTACCGTACACGGAGCGCTGGAAACGTGGTGGGGCCGCGGATCCCCAGTGCCAAACTCAAAGTCCTCTGAGCCACCGCTACGGACTTGAGCCAGAATGACTACGGAGAGGAGGAGGAGGAGAAGGAGGAGGAGGAGGAGGAGGAGAGGGAAGACGAGGAGAACGAGGAGGAGGAGGAGAAGGAGGAGGAGGAGAAGGAGGAGGAGGAGGAGGAGAGGACACGGTCCTCTCCTCCCCCGGGGCGGCGAAACGTCTCCTGACACGGCACGGCGCGTCCTCCCCCGGGGCGGCGAAACGTCTCCTGACACGGCACGGCGCGTCACGGCGCGCGCCCACAGCGCCCCGCGGCGCAGCAGCGCGGGCACGGCACCGGGTCGTGCGCCGGCCGGGCGCGTGCTGGAGCGAGGCCTCAGAGGCGACGATAAGGGGCGAACAGCCTAGGGGAGAGCGATAAATGTATCTCAGCGGGCGAAGAACGGTATAACATAAACTTTTTCGCTGTCGGGGGCGCCTGTCCCAGGGCGGCTGGAAAGTTTATACCGTTCTTCGCCCGTGAAGAATCCGGGGGCGCCGAGGATCTATGCCTTCGATACGGCTCCCGGGCGAATAAGCGAAATGCCCGCCCCTGGGCTATTCGCCCCTGTCGTCGCCGCCGAAGGCCGCGCGCCGCTGCCCGCCGGGAAGGCACGGTATGCCCGACGGCTACAGAGGCCGAAGCGCCGCCAGTGCTGCCAATCCTCCTGCCGCTATTCGACGAGTATGGTTCAGGATGATGAGGAGGGGAGGAGGAGGAGGTGGGGGAGGAAGGCGAGGGCGGTGGTGGTGGTGGTGGTGGTGCTGCTGCTGCTGATGACGATGATGATGATGATGATGATGATGATGATGATGATGATGATGATGATCATGCTGATCATGCTGATGGTGATGATGTTGGTGATGATGATGTTGATGATGATGACGCTGATGATGATGCTGATGCTGATGATTATGGTGAAGGTGAAGGTGATGGCGATTGAAAGGATGATGATGATGCTGATGATGATGATGATGATGATGGTGATGATGATGATGATGATGATGATGGTGATGGCGGTAACGATGCTGCTGCTGCTGATGATGACGAGATGTAGGAGGAAGCGGAGGAGGATGAGGAGGGTGGTGGTGGTGGTGGTGATGATGACGATGCTGCTGCTGCTGCTGATGCTGATGATGATGAGGAGGATGGTGGTGTGATGATGATAGCGATGATGATGATGATGCTGATGCTGATGCTGATGCTGATGCTGATGATGATGAGGAGGAGGATGAGGATGAGGATGATGCTGCTGATGCTGATGCTGATGCTGATGCTGATGCTGATGCTGATGCTGATGCTGATGCTGCTGATGATGATGATGATGATGATGATGGTGATGATGATGATGCTGATGATGCTGATGATGAGGAGGAGGAGGAGGAGAAGAGGAGGAGGAGGGGGATGAGGACCATTAGGATGAGGAGCAGAAGGAGGAGGAGGAGGAGGAGCACGAGGAGGGCGTGCCGGAGCGAATGCATGCCAGAGAATTCAAGCAATGCCGTGGCAAGCATGGGGCTGTCCTTCGGCGACGACGGACGCCAGGCTGCCTGCTTCGCTGCAGCTCGCACAAGGATAACCAAGCTTCACTTGTCGAATCCAAGTGGCGTGAAGCGGAGAGACAGGAGAAGGAGAAGGACCGGAGTAGTTCAAGGTTGCATCAGCGATGCTGCCATGTGCTGTCCCGTCTTAAGGCACTCCCTCATAAGTCCTTTCAAGAATCCTTTTTTCACTGTGAGAAGCGCCCCCA